TATCATCATGACCTGGAAGAGAATCACCCATTCATCTGCCTTCAATTTCCCGCCCTTGCGTGTCCCTACAGTGCTAGGCACGCGTCCAACCCAGGAAGGAAGGTTTATATTTCTTGTGATATCTTGCAATGTAGCTAGGTTCTGAGAATCATCAAAAAATCTCCAACCGAGTTCATCTTCATAAGCATCTTCCAAGTCAGAGAGGTCTTCATCGAATGTGTCATCTTCTAAAAAGCTTTCTGTCTGCTCTTGCTTTGCTTGATAATCCTCGGGTGATGTCATAGAGCAAGTATCGCTTTCTAAGTTCATTTCTTCAAATGCAAACAACAATTTGTCATTGCTCTCTGCTGATAGATACTCTGGAGTTGGAGGGGGAGGTGATGATCCTAATTCCGTGTCTGGGTTTTCTGAAGCTGCGTCAACAGAACAATCCTTCATATACACGTCTGATGCTACAGTCTCCGTCTCCGAGTCTTCATCATCGCTAGCACCCCCGTTCCTTGGATCCTCGGCAGATTGTGGGTCGGACTTCATTCCAAAAGCCCTCGTGCCATGGTTCTTGATGATACCAAGAAAGATGTTGTGCATCGGTTCTACAATTGTGTGGCTAAGAGGATCAAAATACGGAAGTTCCCATAGGACGGAGTACCGCACGCCGTATTCAGCAAAGATTTCCTTCCGGCGTGTTATCGTTTTTGCATCTCTCCAGGCCAAAGCCTGTTCGCGAAGTGTATGTGTGCATCGTCTTCTTTCTTTAGGAATTCGTAATAGATGTATGTCGTCTGTTCCGAGTAGACAAAGTGAGCAAACATGTCGATTTGATGAATGGCCTGCCATCCCCAAAACCTTTCGTATTGCGGGAAGATCACAGATAATGGGACCTAGCATAGCACGGATTACTCTACCATGTGTAGGATACTTGGCGGTAGAAGAAAACTTGACACCCTTCCATAGGACCTTGAGTTCTTGGACTAAGGGTGCCAGAACATGGTTCATTTGCTCTACGTCCGGTTCGGAAGGACCAGGGGTCAGCCCTACCAGAAATATGTTCTCTTGAGATGAACGAATCTCTGGTGGCAGATTCAAACAAACTAAAGCAATAGTTCCAAGAGATATTTGTTTCGACGCAGCCTTGTTTCCATTTGCATTGAACCAATCAACATTCAAAGCAAACACCAGATTTCCGGGAGAGGAGGTAAACCGCTGTCCATCTTCCCCACGAAGCGAGTGCCACATTGAAGCGTCCCGGACATCCTTCATGATCGGACCTTGCGTTTCGAAATAGTCGTCTCTCCATTCCAGCAAATCCTCGATCCCAGGTCGATTCAAAAAACGAGCTAACCAATCAGTAAAGGATACAGTCGAAAAGAGCCGGCATGCTTTTGGGGTTGTCCCATCATGAATACCTGCTTCGTGTAAAAGCTGCTCTGAACATACACGGCTCCTGGGAGTAACTTGAGACGTGCAAAATGTAGGAATCTTATCACCATAGTACATACTGAAGCATTTGGGGCAGCACACTGTTCTGCGAATCTTTGGCTCAATCCGTAGTCCATCAAGAAATGTACTCATAGCCTTTGGTAAAGTGGCCTGCGAAGACTTTTCATCGGTGTTGAAGGTGGAGACTGCACCTATGACATGCAAGCAAAGCGTGGCAGCCTCCACACTGATATTTTTGATAAGGTGTAAACATGTGATCATAAGGAAGTAAGCCAGGTCAGAAGGCTTCCAACGTCGAAACTTGTCGTAGTGTGTTGTACTGTATATGCCTGCTTGTCAAAAATTCAAAAATTCAACGAAATTCACATAAAGATAGAACTCTATTGAATAAAAGATGATGAAACACACTTGAATCTATGATTGGCCCATCCCATGATGGTTGGAAGTGGCTTTCTGTGGCTTTACGATTGAAAGCTGTTGTTTCTAAGTTCGAAGAAGCAAGAGGCAAACTTTCCATTGAGGCCTTTTGGGCATCTTGTGATGGTGATCGTGTATCTATCAACCGCTTGCTCTCAGACTCTCAAGGAATATTAACAATTTAACAAGAGAGAACGTCTACCTACCTGAAATATCCGAGGATAAAGAGAGTTTTTGTGCCGTGCATGTCGCGCGTGTCCCGAAGCTCTTGACATGTTTTTTGTGATTTGCAGGTCTCCAGAGCGTTCCGTATACTTTAGCATTGGTCTGGGGATGTTGGTAGGTGTTTTTTTCACAGTCGGAACAGTGGCAAGGTATCAGAGCTAACGTTTTCATCTTTCAAGACTTTGCTTTCTTGGGTGATTGGCCTTAATGAATTGATAAATGGTGTCAAAGTGAGATGAAGCGAGAAACTGTTGAATATGAAGATGATCGCGTGAGTTGAACCCTATCTTATATGGATTGAAATGCGCATCTGGACTATTCATCCTCAGAAGAACACACTATTCTGAGGATGCATACATGCTGAACATCAAAGGAGAGTATTGGATCTCAGCCTCTCCGCATCACCCTGACTACATGGAAGCACTTAATCGCAAGAGTGGCTACGTGCTGAGTCTTCAAGGGCAAGTTCGAACTTCAAAGTCAAGTTCGAACTTCGAAGCTTTATATGTCAAGGTCTCTTGAGGCTCGAAGCCCAGACCTCTGACACTCGAGCTTAAGATTCGAAGTTCGAAGAGCTCGAAGAGCTCAGATTCGAAGTTCGAAGAGCTCGCAAGACAGAAAATTTTTCTGCAATTTTTGTGTCGATTCGAGACCAAATCGGTCCTACGCCGATTGCATCGGCTGCTTTTGGAATGCGTCGCTAAGATGCAACCGAAGTTGCCTCGCCAGCGAGATTGAATCGGGCATTCAGGGGATTGAATCGCGATTCAAACACCGACATGAAATCGAAAAAATGATTGAATCGGGACAAAAGGCCCGACATTTAGTTGCTCAGAGGGGATGCGATGCGATGATTGTATTGCACATTTGTTTTAGTCGGATGAGCGCTATACGAGTAGCCATCGGACCTGATCAGACTGAGGTTCAGTCGGCGGCCACCAATGCGGTTTGGGATCGGCGCTCAGTTTCATCGGTTGTGCCAAAGCGATCCTCAATCGGACTGCGGATCCCATCGGACAGTGAAGATGTGATTACACATCGCACAACAATTCTATCGCACAATTTGGCCCCGACCCTGCTTCGGAACACCGTCCACGATGTGACATCGGAAGGGGCATTCCGACGTGAATTTCTTGGCGGTGAAGTTGACCTGGAGGTGTTGACGGTGGAGAATCTAGTTCCATTGGAATTATTGGTGGCACCGGTAGATCTGGTACCACTTCAACCTGCATAGGAACTCCTGAAGGTACATGCACCAATTGATCTGTTGGCGGCAACGCTGGTTCTATCATTCTTGACGATGGCATCGGTGGAATCACAGGCTCGAATGGTAGAACTGGTGAGGTTGCTGATTCTAAAACCCCTGAGGACGATAGATTCGGTAAAGGCGCTTCTGATTCAGAGGAAGAAGTGACTACGTTATCGTTGAACACTTCCACAAAACCTTCACCTTGCTCTTCATTGTGACCGACTCCGGGAAAAGAATTGACATTAAATGTAACGTCATGTGAATAAACCGTCTTGCCATTTTCAAGCCTCACTCTATAGTTCTTCATGCCTAATTGATAACCAAGTAAAATTCCTTTAAATGAAGTGTCATCAAATTTCTTTCGAAATTTCTTAAGAATTAGGACATAAGCACAACAACCGAAAGGTTTCAAATGATTTACGTCAAATGGTCGATTAAACCACAATTCGTAAGGCGTTTGATTGTCAATCTTCGTCATCGGAGTAACATTCTCTAGGAAAACAGCAGTTGCAACGGCTTCTCCCCAAAATGATTGAGGCAAATTTGAATGCTTAAGCAATGTTCTGGCTTTCTCAGTCGTAGTCCTATTGCCACGTTCAGCAACAGGATTTTGTTGAGGTGTATAAGGGGTGCTTATGTAGGAAGTTGTCCCATTCTCAGAGAGCATCTTGAGAAAAACTTTTGACATATATTCTCCGCCTCCATCATTAACTAAACTCACTATCTTTCGATTATGAAAAGTTTCCACTTCCGCTTTAAACTTCATAAAGTACGAAAACGTCTCATCTTTAGATTTCATGATGTAAACGTACTTGTAATTAGCGTAAGCATCAGTAAGTTTAAAATAATAATGACAACCTCCCTCAGCGACAGATGATATCTTGCCACTAAGATCACTATGCACAACTTCTAATGGAAAAGTCGCTTTAGGAAGGGAGTTTGAATAAGATAATCGATGTCCTTTTGAAATTGCACACTCCTCACAAAACCAGTCATGTGGAGATCTCACACCATACATTACATTCAATCGGACTGGATTTGTATGTCCGGATTGTCTGTGAAGCGTGGTATAATCAGATAACGTGACACTGTTGCAAGTAGCGGAATAGGACGTACCGATGGCGATGCTGAGTTCGATGACTCGATTTCGAACTTGGCCAGTAAGACAACCGGTACCTTCTTTCGTCATTAGAATGACTCCTTTATCATGAGAAAGATTATACCCGTCTTCTAACAAACAACCCATACTGATGAGGGAGTTTCCAAGTTCGGGAACGTGATAGGCGACAAGAACCAGTTTGGTCCCAAAAGATGTAATGACAATCCCTCCTTTGCCGGCAATGTGAATTGAGTTACCGTCAGCTAAGCAGACTTCCAATGCCATAGATTCATAATTTTTAAATAATTTTTGATCTGACACCATGTGATCAGAGCACGCACTATCTAATAAAATAGCAACACCCGGAGATTTAGAAAGACATGATAAAGCCGAGGTTTCAATAACATCATCAAGATACGATCGTTGAAGTATCGCTGTTGTCGCTCTAGTTCGTGATGTTTGTGAACGAGCATTAGGTTGACGTGGTGGTCGCCGTAAATGTGGCCTTTCCACCCAACATGCGTCCGCCGGATGATTAGTTACAGTTGGATTATGTTTACCGTTGGTACATCAAGGATATGAATATCGAGCAGGAGCAGCAGTGGTGGTCGTCATCAGAGCGATTGAACTGTCCTCTCGATGTCGTTCAGTGAAATCCACTAGATGAGCATCTAACATGGTCAAGACTGTCTTACAGGAAAGTTTGCCTGACTCTGATTGTTTGGCCGTGATGAGTGACACAACAGTCTCCATGGAATCCGGCAGTTTGAAGATGATTCCTTCACACAACAGCGGTTCAAGAATTGGATTCGTCGTTGCACATCCACATGCTTCCATTACCGACATTCCTTTACGGACATCCTTGATATATTGAGCAAGGGTAACAAAAGGAATTCGTAGAAAGTTTCGGCAAGCTCGTCCTTGACTATTGGCACTAGTTGATTGAAACTTCTCTTTCAAGTGCTTCCAAATACCGACTGGATTCAATAAAAGTCCTTCTGATTCAATTTGAATTCGAAAAGGTTCAGTCAAGTAACTGTACATAATACCGGCGGCTTTGTTTTGACGGGTGACATAAGCTTCAAAGTTAATCTTTTCCTCTCCTGCAATAGCTCGAGCAACAGGAGTATGATTAGGAACAAGAAATTCCTGGAGTCCGTGAGACATCAGGTAACCTGTAATGTCGCCTTTCCACTCGGTATAGTTGTCATCGTTAAGTTTAACGATGTGAATCTTGGTATCGCTTGACATGACGAAGTTGGATGTATGCGTAGGTTTTTGAATTTGTTCGTGTTCGATAGACTGCTTAATGAAGTTCAAAGATATGAAGATGATGATGGCGGTAGCTAGTCGCAAGAGCGCTGGGCTCATAACCACTTAAGGTGGATATAACCTGGTGAGAATCAAGTTATCAGCTCAATGAAGCTGAGAACTGATCGAACAACTGATGAGAAAAATACCTGGTGAGAATCAAGTTATCAGCTCAATGAAGCTGAGAACTGATCGAACAACTGATGAGAACAATCTGATGGTAAAGAAGATTGAGAACAAAAGTATGTTTGAGTTTGATTTCATCAATATCCACAACACTAACACGACACAACTTACACCTGGTGAGAATCAAGTTATCAGCTCAATGAAGCTGAGAACTGATCGAACAACTGATGAGAACAATCTGATGGTAAAGAAGATTGAGAACAAAAGTATGTTTGAGTTCGATAAAGGAAAAAGCTAAAAGTAAAGAAACGTATAAGCTTTATATAAGGAAATCAAACATTATGACGTCATATCATCTTTACAATAACAGGTGTATAATTGATGTAACAAAGAAATCATGATGAGTTAATAAGCCTTATGATTATGATCTCAATTAAAAATGGCCAAGATAATAAACTAAACAGGATTGAAGAAAACAATTAAAAAAGAAGAAAATTAAGTAAATAAATTAAAAAAGTTTGGCTTCTAAATCTCCTAAAGTCAATTGACATTCTTGAATTCATTTGAATCATCTACAGGGTGATTTCAACTATTTGAAGATTTGACTTGAGAATCAGTTGATGTAAGATTAAGGTCTAAGATGGGTTGGAGCAATTTGCAAGCAACTACCTAAATGATACAAACTGTGAAGATAGCTTTGACACCCTAGAAAACAATTGAAAGACATGACTAGTTGTAAACAAGAATCATGATACAAGGCTATCAGTATCAAGTTGACAATATTGGATGACCATAAAGAAGAAAAGACTTATGTGATGGGCTAGCTCAATATAAGTAGGAGCAATCAAGAAGAGCTGTTGGCTGAAGTGATTCTGAAATTTGAAGGCCACATTTCCAGGCTGTGTAAATATGTACCAAATGTGACGTCCGGTGCCATTCTCATAACCGGGCCTATGGAAGATGTCAAGTATGACGTCACAGGTACATGTCACAGATTGCACCACACTTTGTCTACTGCGCCAGTCTACGCTTGAGTCCCTCATCACTCATGGGTCATCACTGTCATTCTTCAAATGATTTCAAGTTTCTAAGGTATAAGTCGATTGATCCGATCAAAACTATCCATCACCCACTCTACCCCTATTCCCTCCTCACCTTGATCTTGATCTTGATTTTGGTCTCTGTCCATTCTCCCAACTTATTGATTTCAATTTTTGGTTTCAAGTCAGCTGTAAGTCAACTATCTCCTCTTGTCTTCTTTCCTTCATCTCATCTTCACTTCATTCCACTGACATCTTATTTCTTCACTCCATTAAAACTGTCTTCCTTTATTTGATTTCTTTCATTAACTTCTTGATTGTAGGATCCCAATCAATTGATCAATCTCCCTCAAAAGAACTCTACACACCTTTCCTCCATCCTCATCTCACTTAATATCTGGCTCTTTCCCTTTTCATTCTGACCTTTTGATTTGCTTTCAGTCCATCAATCAACTTCTCAATCTTTTAATTTTGATTTCCACATTCAATACATATCTTCGATTTTGAATCATTGTATAGGTAAGTCTTTCCTTTTATCTTGTTTTCATTACTTTCCACCCTGCATACTAATGTAAAACACCCTTTCTCCAATTTCTCATGATGACTTTTGTTGTTTAGATCTTGATTCCAACTCTTGTTTGTATAAGTTACTTGATCAATCTTGATCTTTTAATATCAATCAGTCCTTGCTTGATATTTATCAGGTTCTCATCTAATATTAAGTTAGGACATCAAATCAATTTCTTTTTCTTTTCTTTTATTCTATTTCAATTTTAATTTTTCAATTAGTTCTTTTAACTTTGAATCAATCAATCCTTTTCATTCAGATCATTATTTTTCTTCCTCTTGATTTTCTCTTGATTTTGATTTTAAATTTAATGTTGTAAAATTTCTTTTGACTCATGTACTATCAGTTGAGTTTAATTGATTTAATATGATTATGATTATTTTTGACTTAAATAACTAAATTTGAAAATTAAAATGCTCTTGACACTATTCCTTGCTGAGTTGTAAAGTTTTAGCAGCGCTGATCAAATGTGAGGATAAGAAGGAAAAAAACAAGAAGTGTGTGAGCTTCCACACCTGGTCGTCACAATGCTCGCCTCACACCCTAACAAGGCGAGTCAGCTCACCCGTTCATTGAGTGAGCCATGTCACCTTGTTATGATATGAGATGACTCCCCCGCTCATCAGGTGAGTTATCACGCTTTAGCAAGGTGATCAAATTGGGTGAAGGCCAAGCTGGCTGCCACGTGTAACTCACGTCAGGTATGACAATGTAGACAGCATGTATTTCAATGGCAGAGTCAAATATCACGTGAGTGTCACATGCCACCAGACCCGTGGTGTACCCCTCCATAAGCTCCCAAAATCATCTGAATGGTATCCACTCGCTCCAATCCAAAGGTGCATCGTGCTAGTTGTCCTATCTCATCTCAAAACAAACCCAGCAAAAAGACCAAATCAAAAGCAGCCAAACCAAAGAATAAACATCCAACTTTTGAAGAAAGAGTTGAACATTCCCTCCGTGATAACGAAAACAATAACCTTCTTGGCCAAACCAAACAAGACAGAGTTATTCAGCAGCCCACTGCAAAAGAAGCATTTCGATCTTGCTTTCCGTGACTTGAGATTGAAGACTTTGAAGATCATTTAGATGAATGGACCGTTGTTACGCTTCAACAAGCAATTTCTAAACATAAGGCAAAGACGAGTAGAACCCCATCAGTCATTGATACATTAGTGAAGGGTATTTGTATAGAATACGAGAAAAGGATGCCGATGGCTGCTCTCATGGGAGGAGTTCCAGAGGCTGTGGTCTGGAATATTGTGTAAGTAGCCTCTGGTTCAACAATTAATCAATCAATTAAAGCTTACTTGTCTTTCAGTCAACTTGGATTCATATCTTTATTAGGGGAGAAGGCGCGAGGAAGGGCCATGCGAATCCATGGATTAGATTCTTGGCATTTTGTCCGCTTGCGTTGGCGGAAGAAGGTAAGTTATGTAGTTGACAGGATATTGTTTGGAAATCTCTAAATTGACCACATGATTCTACAGTACCGGAGTCTGGCAACAGTGAGGGCTGGACCAATCAAAACAAAAACGTTTCGAAAACATGGAAGATGCTGAACAAAGACCAGAAAGATGTCTTCCGAGACCCTTCCTTCTTCGCCTTGAATGGCTTTCCTGATCTCTCCAATGTACTGTTTGACCAGGACGAACCGACCAAATTGAACGATGAGAATGAAACAAATCTCGACCATTTAGATGACTTGACTGCTGCACCTCTGGTTCACAAACTTACTGATGAACAGACAAAGAAATATCAGCCTTTATTTGATGAACTTGTCGACTCTTAAAAACTTTATTTATGCCACGGCAAGCCTGCTCCTACATCCTCGGTGGCCACAGTACAGAAGAAATCGTTGTTACAATTGCGGAAGGATCATCATGTGGCTAATTCATATGATTTCCCCACTCCATATTCATGCTCACTGATTATATACATTTATTCTTGATACCCAGTTTGCAGTAGTATGTCAGCAATATCAAATGACTTATTATTTGGCTGCGGTCAGTTGTGGAAGCACAGAAGAATGGACACAAGTATTCTCGAATAATACATCATTCGCAAAGTGGGCATTGTCCGAATTGAAGGTTCCACAAACACTGGCATCCTACATCCATGGTCAGTCCGCTGTCAAAACAGTTGAGGGTACCAAGACTCAACAGCCCAGTGATGAGCGTAAAACACGTCTAGGAAGAGAGCTCAACCATCTAGTTTTTAAGTTTTACAATTGTCACACACTCATCTTGGGACTTTTTGACCATTGTATCCACTACTATAACCGTCGGGGTCTATTTGGGGGTTTGCGGTTGAGTCCAAGTGGTTATCACTATGGACTCATCCTAAAGGTTTAATTTATGCTTGCTGTTACAGGAATACTAAGATCTCATGGAGGCTTCCTTGTAACCACTCCCATTAAGGGGTTTTCCTTAATAGTATTAAGTTTTTATTTTCTTATTGGGGTGGTGTGGGGGTATGCCCCAGAGGAGCGGGTCCCAGTAGTAGACGTCTACCACTGGAAGTGAGCCGTTCATCCGGGTTGAGAACAAGGAGACCTGATGGGGTCTTCTCTTCCCCATAACTCACGGGGGACTGAGCCGTGAGCCTAGAGAAGACCCCATCACTCGGTCCGCCGTGAGATACCCTCTCTTACCACACACAAGAACTCAACTATATGCCGTGAAGCAGATCGCATTGGAATAGAGTTCAAACTGTATAGTTCATGCATGACAGGCGTCGAGCGAAACAATCAAGAAGCATGAAAAAGCCTAAAACAGTAACCGCCACCAAGCCTTCAAGCCGAGATCTATACAAGAGGAAATCAACCCAAGGTAATTCAGAACCTATTTCCCCCGTAAAAACTAGATCACTGCTCACCTCATCTATCCAATCAACACGAGGCCTGTGGATCACTGAGGTGGCTCCCATTCCAGGTCATTCAATAGCTTCACGGTCGACTTCAAGTCCTTTGCAGAGAACTTCCTCAGATAAATCATGTATGCATCTGAGGACCAGCGACCACATCTCTTCACCTCATCCTTTTCAGCACCTAGGTTCCAACGGAGCGAGGCGCCTCCAATCCTGAACAAATGGCCATGTAAGAGTTGTTTCTTTTTTGAACGCTTGGTATTCCAAATTCTTCTGAATTCTCTAATGGTTTCTGCCTTTCCCAGCCTATGCTTCTTCCCCTCCCCTGAAACGGAGAA